TCTAGTTCAGGTGTTGATACTACAGATCTCAGTTTACTGATATTTCTGAGATAGAAGAAACATGATCTGGACAGCTTCTTAACATGGGGGTCAAACGACATGGATCGATCAAAGAAAATCCCCAGATTACACAGGTTGCAATGGGCAGCAGAGGAGAGTGGACCAATACTCTGCCTGATCATGGGGACATACTCATCTGGAGCAATAACTAGAACCTCCGTCTTAGTGTCGTTAAGTTGTAAGCAGTTTTCTGCCGTCCAGTCTCTGATGGCATTGACACAGTCCAGGAGCCTAGTTAATGTGAAGGCCTCGCTAGGTTGGAATGACAGATGGAGTTGGATATCATCTGCATATAAATGATAGGACACATAACTTTTTATAATCGCTCCCAAAGGTAACAGATAAAGGGAAAATAACAGACGCCCCAGAACCGAGCCCTGCGGTACGCCACAAGACAGTGGAGCGGTAACAGACACAAAATCACCCACAGAGACATTGAAACTTCTGTCATTGAGGTAAGACGTGAACCAGTCTAACGCTATGCCAGATATGCCAACCCAATCACGTAGCCTCTTAATCAGGACGTTATGGTCTACAGTGTCGAATGCAGAACTGAGGTCCAGAAGAACTAGCACAGAGCAGTCACCTGCATCAGAACACATGAGAATGTCATTTGAAACCCTCAGGAGAGCGGTTTCAGTAGAGTGTTGTCTGCGAAACCCAGACTGGAACTTGTCGTACATGTTGTGCCTCTCCAGTGCAGCAGTAAGTTGTTTGGCCACTACTTTCTCTAAGATTTAGGACAGGAAAGGCAGTTTTGATATGGGCCTGTAGTTCATGGGCAAAGCAGGATCTCAGTTTGGTTTCTTTAATATGGGCTGGATAGTGAGTGGCATGCTTAAAATAGGACGGGACACCTCCTGTAGACAATGAGGAATTGACAATAGATGTTACTGCAGGGCCAATAATTAGCAGAACTTTCTTAAATAGAGAGGTCGGTATTATATCCAGAGGGCAAGATGATGGCTTTGTTTTGTTAATTAAGTCCATCAGGTCTTGAAGGCTGATAGGCTGGAAAGAGTCCAGAACAGTAGGAGATTGCGAGGAGCTACATGTAGATGAACAAATCCCAGGCTGAATGCCAGACCTAATAGCTGTTACCTTATCATTAAAATATGTGAGGGATTTGTTGCAATCCTCAACAGAACAGCATGGTAATGTAGAGACAGACGGTGAAACAATTCTCTTAATTGTGTCAAACTAAATCTTGGGATTTCTCTTTGAGGAAGAGATTAAGTTGGCAAAATAAGCAGTTCTAGCTTCCTTTACTCCAGCATTAAAAGAAACTCTGAGGTCTTTGAGATATGAGCGACTCTCAAGCTGCAGACAGCGTCTGTCATCCACAGAGAAGTGTTGTAGGCAGCCCTGGTCCTTTCCTTAAGAGGTGCCACTTTATCCAGCAAAGTGGTGCAATGTTCATTAAAAGACTGCATCAAGAGTTCAACATCGTTGTGATTTGTGTTGCTATCACAGCAGAAGTGCATAGAGAACTGATCAGCTGTACGCTGAGTAATAATGCGGGAGTGGAATGTTTGTTTCAGACACAAGGGGTCAGCATTGACAGAAAGATCAAAGAAAATACATTTATGGTCACTGATCAGTAGGTCCTCACAACTGGTATTATCAATATCAAGACCCAGGGAGAACACAAGGTCCAAAGTGTGACCATCCCTGTGAGTGGCGCCAGAAACATGTTGCGTGAAATTAAAAGATTCAGTAATATTGAGAAACTCAGTGGCACTGCAGTCTGTGGTATCATTGATATGCAGATTAAAATCACCAACCAGAAGCACTTTGTCTAGCTTGATAATAGAGGTCAGAAAGTCTGCGAACTCTGATAAAAACAATTTTTTAATGAAAAAACAAAAAACAAATTAAATAATAAAAACAATTTATTCAGAAATCCTAACGATTCAGCTACGGGGTGAGATAACAGGCCTACGGTACTGTTCTGATACCTCCGTGAGGAAACTAACTCACGTGGGAAGGACAGCCCTAAGGAGTAACCACCGTGTTAGGTGCACAAGCCTGTCCTGCTTTCCCCGGGACGGGATCCGTTCACGCTACACTCCCTACAGTATATTGCGGCTTATGTTTGTTGGATTTTCTTTGAATTTTTAATTTTTTGATCTTTCTTATTAATGTTGCTCTATGTCAAATTGCCCAACTGTTCAATAAATGTCAGCATGACTGAACATAACTGTCATGCCTCCCTTTTCTTCCTCCCATATATATCTCATCCTGTCTGAAAGCTCAGTCACACTCAGAGTGTCTCCCTGCAGAGTTGAGTGTGCTCTGTCTAGTCATCCCGGTCTGATCCCGCTCCAGGGT